CTGAGTATGCATCCTAAGAGCATCCTCGATTTTCTAGTCTGTGATGCTACTTGTTCAGAGAATGTCAAGTCACTAGAGTACCTCAGGCCTAAGTCAACCACCCTTCGGAGTCTGGTTAGGTTAGCAGATTGAAGCGTTAATTTCAGGTCAATTGAGGTTGCGCCGAAGCAGATCCAGCCATATTTGTTCAGATTGAATTGGAGATTCCATAGGGACGAGCAAGCAGTCATTTTATCTAATTCCTTTTGCACTACATTCTCGAAGTACCCTAAGTCATCACATTGGAATGTATAAGCTACTTTTAGGTTATCTGCAAAGATGAATGGTTTCCCGTGCGAGAAGCAAGCGCATATGTCATTGATGTATAGTGTAAATAGAAGGGGTCCAATGACACTACCTTGTACTACACCAGAAGTGATAGGGCTAGGTTTGGAGGTTGCAGACCCGAGTTTAACTATTTGGGACCTATTGTTAAGGAATGATTTAAGCCATCCTAATAATGGGTCACGTATTCCTAGGGAGTTCAGCTTATTTGTTAGCAGTAAATGGTCAACACGGTCAAATGCCTTAGAAATGTCAAAGTAGATGACAAGTACTAGTTGCCGTCTGTCACGACTGCTGGTTACAAAATTGAAGAAGTCTAGGTGACATGTTAAACATGATCTGGATTTCAGGAATCCATGTTGGTTCGGACTTATAATGTTGCATCAAAGCATATGTTTGATTAGGTTATCTTTGACTAGTCTCTCCATGATTTTAGATGCTATAGGTGTGATATTGATCGGCCGGTAGTTACTGACTTCAGTTTTCGAGCCAGATTTGTGTTTAGGCATAATGAATGTTGTCTTCCATATGTCAGGGTAAGTTTGAGTTTCTAGGGACATTGTGAATATTTTAAGCAGCAGTAGAGGAATGTCAGGGCCACCATATTTATAGAAGTAAGATGATATACCGTCGGTACCGAAACCTTTTGAACTTTTGAGGGTTCTTATAGTTTGGTTAATATTAGCGTAAGTGAATTCAACAGTGCTAATTTGGTTTGGTGTGAGTGGAGATGGAGTTTGTGCCATATTAGTAATAGGGTGTATATCGAGTAGCTGGACTGAGGGCTTAAGGTAGTTACCTGCAAACGTTTTGTTGAATAGTTCACATATGTCTGCAGAGTTAGTGCATAGTTCACTTTTGTCTATGAGGAGAGAAATGCTGTGATTTTTGCGATTCATTCGCTTCCTTAAGATTTCTGTGAGTGCATACACTCTAGCAGGACTGGCTACTGCGATGCGTTCTTCCTTTCTCATACGGAAATCTTGAGCTTGTGAGATGGAGCTAAGGGTGTTAAGTATTAGACCTAGAGTGCCAAAGTCGTGGTGTTTGAAGTAACTTGTTGAGAGTCTCTTCAGTTTCTTACGATCCTTTGGTTTTATGAATGACTTTCTGTGTGGGGAAACCTTTAGTGTTTGGAGTGGAATGACAGCATCTAAGCATGTGTTAGAGTTATGGTAGAAGATGGTTAGGGCTCTCGAGAGGTCATCAGTAGTGAAGTATTCATCCCATTCGGAGGATCTTAGCATTGATTCTACTAAGGCCCAGTTTGCCTTACTATAGTTCCTATATTTTACTTGTTGTGAAGTGGAGGTATGAGATGCATTGCTACTCAGCGGAATTGGCAGTGCACACATCACTGTTTTGTGGTCGCTCCCTGGAAACTCAGAACCTACTAGCGTTGAAAGGGGGCTTATATTGTGGCAGAAGATTAAGTCTAGTACGTTATTACCTCTTGTGGGAGTAGTGACAGTTTGTTTCCAGCCAAGTATATCCAGTGTGTCTAAGAACTTATCAAATTTAGTTGGGTATATCCCAGTTGATTTCAGGTAAGTTAAAGTCCCCACATAGGATCTTATGGTCGTATTGTAAGTCGGATAATTGCTCCAGAGTATTAATAAGTTGGGTCTCGTAATTACTAAAGGTGCCAGGTGCTCTGTAGGTGCATCCAATTAATGCTGTTACGTTATTTAAGTGTACATTAACCCATAGAGTCTCAGGCATGTTAAGTGTACTACTTTCTAGCTGTGATACAGTAAGTGCATTCAGAAAGTACATGAGACAACCCCCTCCCTTACCACCTTCCCTGTCACACCGAAAGTGTGTGTAGTTATCTAAGCTTATTTCTTCATCCAGGATGTCCGAATGACACCAAGATTCAGTGATGACAATTACAGGGGGTTTGTATATTACTGTGAGTGCTCTGAGCATCGGCAATTTATTTAGAACAGATCTAGCATTTATGAGGATTAGGTAAAGATGAGAGTTGAAGTAGCATTTGAAGTATTTAAGTTCGTTAGTCAGCCCCGAATATGGTTCAGCACCCAGTAGTTCTGCTTGACATGACGATCCTATGTTAAGAGGAGTTTCAGCATCATGCTCACCTATGTCTATCGAGTTGGTGTGTGCTGTTTTCGGTGAAGAATTAGGAGTTGGAGTACTGGATTTGCTATAGACTAAGGAATTTTTATTTTTAGTTAGGTTACAGAAGTGGGTAGGGTTCTTTATTTGACCTATACTTGTGCAAGTGTCAAGTGTGCCTAATGGATACGGGTGCACTAGACCGTTCCTGTTTTCATGCAAGGAGGGAGCCAGCACTAGTGGTTTAGGAGTGTTAACATCCCTACCAGCTGTTTTTTCAACGCTGACAGGGACGCGGGGATAAAAAATGATTGGATCCTTGTGATGACCATGGCTTATTATTCCACCTATTGTTTGATGCTAGTTGTGTCCTTGTGTGGGTTTCGTGTGTACTGCATTGTGGGTTAGTTCCCAGCAGACTTGTACCATATATCCGGTCAAAATTTGTTTGTGTGCCATACTCTGAAGACCCTGAGTTGTTAGTAGCCGAGTTCTGACTATTACCACTTGTACTATTTAGGGTGACATTGTTGTGACATTGGATATTAGTGTGTGCCATGGTGCGATTTAGCACGTTGTGAGTGCTAATACTATTTACCGTGGGGAGTGTGGGCTTATTTAAGCTGCCACTGTTTTTGTTGGTATGATTTAGGGGCATATTTTCCTTATCTTTAGCAATGGAGTTATGGCTAGGAGAGGACAATGTCGAATTTCGGGGGGCTTTGACTTTTTTCTGGGGTTATTTAGTGACATGTTAGATTCTACGGTGATAGGTTGTGTGGTTTTATTATTTATTCGGTTACAGTCTAGTGGCCTTTCGGCTGGTGCTGAACTCTGATAGGATAATTCTGTGTGTTTTGAGAGGGGTGGTGCGGCGGGGACTACGGTATCTCTCAGATGGTTGGGTATAATGGCTGCTTGGAATGTCGTATTATTTGTTTCACAATTAGGCTAAGCGAGATAATATGCGCTCCCTTCTATGACTGTTTTGTCAACCACAACCTTTATATGTTTGTAGTTTCTGGCTTGCGATAGGGTGTGTTGGGATTTTTCTGGTCTCTACCAGTGTTTCGAACTGAAAACGAATAGGACAACACTTTTCATGTTGACTCTTCTTCAGCTTATAGCACTTAGTCTTGGAGTTAGGCATTTTTGCCTCACTAAGTAAGATGCGCTGGACCTTTTTCAGTGCCTCATTGTCCGGAACCTTGTAGACAATAGCACTCAGTTTTGCATCGAGTCGTTTTGTTACTTCTGTGGTAACAAAGTTAGTGAGGTTATCTACCTTAATTACCGATTCTGTGTCAAGCTTGTTAAGGTTTACAGTTTTCATGAGGATAGTTAGAGGTGTCAGTTCACAGACATGTGATATGATATCGCTAATCTGATCTGATAATTTGGATATCTCGGCATTGGTTTCAATATTTCCAGCATTTACTGACTTACTGTTTTTTATTTCCCTTAACTCAGCCTTAAGTTCTCCTGTAGACAACTTCAGAAGTTCTATTTCTGCGGATAGTACTGAAAAAGAGCTTGATGGCTGGAGTTTTTCAACAAGCACATAAGGTGTAGGGAGGAGTTCTGTATGAACAGCGTGAGCCCGAGCGCAGCAAGAGCTGGGCATTAACGGTTTACGAGACTTGGCTGACAGTTTCTGACGATATAAACAGATCTGGCGGATTCAAACAGTTGGTGAAAGTTTGGATAGTCGCCGTTCATTTTTCCTGGTGCCGGTCAAGTCCTCTTTGAACAAGCAATATCTGGAACGTTTTCGGAATTGGGTCAAGTTCAACAATGCCTGGGTCAAAGAAAGGACAGAGTGTCTTGGATGCAAACAGGAAAGTAAGTCATGGTGACTTGTCTGTTAATTGTAACGATGTGTCTGATGTTAAGTATGACATGGTTGATGTTACCGTTTCGCCGTCTTTGGATAATTGGAATATCAAACTACCTAAATTTGATCCACGGTGTTTCGACGGAAACCCAGCTGATTATCTACAGTTTGTAAAGGAGTCTGAGATCATGTTGAGTAGTTTTTTATTAACTGATGAAATGAAGTTAATGTATTTGATGAGGTACTGCACTGGAGTTGTTTCAAGAGCTACACAGTGCCGTAAGTTTATGAAGACAAACGAGGGGCACTATGAGGCTATGAGCATACTGCATCAAAGGTTTGGAAGACCTTCGATGATTGTAGGGAAATTATTCAAGGCTGTTAAGGGTAATGGTGGTCAGTTACAAGATGACTCCCAGGCACTCACTGAGTTTTTGGATAATCTGCTGACTTACAAGAATGCGTTGATTTCGATGAATTGCATGAATGACCTCAACTCGAGTTTTATACTAGAAGTAATAGCAAGACGCCTACCTACTCGACTGCAAAGGAAGTGGGTGAAGATAAGCTCCCGTATGGAGGATGAGGGTATCGAGCCAAGATTTGATGATATCCCGAAACTGGTAAAAGATAGCATCAATCCATCTAAGGGCAAGTTCGCCAGTCTATTTCATCCCACCCCTAGAATAGAGCAGTCTGAGGGAAAACCCAATCATTGATGACGAATAGGCCTCAGAGAGATGGATATAGAGAAAACTCCATGATGTCTAGTATTGCATATAGACCTAGTGAGTGTAACAGGTTTCGTAGTACATCCTCAACAGATAAGTTGCAAGATACAAGACAAACACTGTTGTGTTTCACACGTTTGCAAGAAGTCCATAAAATGATGAACTGTGAATCAGTGAGCAAGTTTAGTGATAAGCTAAATGTGAAATCAAGGTCTGACTCCGAATTGTGTGACGATAACGGTGTGATCAAGAAGCCTGTATTTGCAACTGGTAAGCCATTGTTGAACAGTGTCACAGAATAGAGTTGCTGCTTCAGAGTCCAGTTCTGACTCCACAAGTTTACAAGGTATTACTAGTCAGAGTGAAGGTATAAAATCTTTAGGGATTTGTGAGGTAGAACGCGAATCATCTATTGTTGTTATTAAAGGGTTTAAAAATGATGAAGTTGACCAGGTAGATGATGGTAAATGGAATATTTGTGATAATGGTCGTGATAGTGCAGACTTTTCTTCGGTTGATCATGATGAAATGAGGGGACTGCCTACTACTGCTAGGTTAAATATAGTTTCTGTACAACTGCAACGTTTATTAGGATTGAATGTATTTGCGGAAGGTATGGATACTTGTGAGACCGTCAATGTAATTGATCAGCGTGTAGCCCACCTATCATCAGATGCTAGTGCTAAAGCGGAGCTGATAATGAAATACAGGAGTGGTGGTAATCTTGCAGTTAGACAACTATCCGAAAGCCGAACAACAACAGCTTCTGATCCACCGCTAAGTTCATCAACTGGTATTAATCAGTTGCCGTCAGTGTTGTCATCCACAATGAGAAGGACGCCCATCAACTCAAGTATCTTGTGCAATGACTATGATAGTATTGGTGCATTTGAAAAGACGAAGGATATTGCCCAGTTTAGTGAGGATAAGCCAAGTGTAAACGAGAGAATAATTGTTAAATTTACTTGCATGAATACAGGCATTTCTAGTTTCAAGTTACTATTCGAATGCTATTATCACCCTATTCTTCAGGAACAGCAATATACAAATTAAAGGCTCGAGATATTTCTGATTTTTATGAGGGCTTAGATATTTATCTTGAAAAAGATGATAATGAACGCCTGGACAGATCATGTTTCTGCCTTTAAATATATACCATTCGCCCAGCCTATTGTTGAGATGCGACCTTGTGGGATCTGCAGATTTATGGGGCATCTTATAAATTAACTTGCTGTCCATCGTCAGATTTTTACATACCACTTCACAATGTCTTATTTCATTCATTTTCTAATGACGTCTTTACTTGCTCCTCATTATACTCCATTAAACCTAACATTTTATAGCTCTTTATGAATTTGATTCGACTTATTCTATTCCTATTCTCTGGAGGGTACGGTTGTGCACCAAATAGACAAAAGCGCATGAAATAAAGACAACTGGCTTGAAAATAATTGTATGAAAGCCAAAAGTGGACATCATGATAGTAAGAAATATATTGGTTTTATTATACATTGCAAATGAACGTTGTCAGCCTAAGGATTAATTACTTCCCCATTCTGTTTTCTATATAAATGTGTTTATTAATGATATATTTCACTCACTTAATCTATCACACTTTAATGTTTCACCTTAGCACTTTAACTTTTCTAAAACAGCTTTCAATCCCTTGTAAACGTTGTACTTACCTCAATATTGGTTGGTTATCGTATGCCGACAACCACGGGATGAAAACGAAACGAAGTCGATTTTCCCGCTCAACCTGGGGGACAACTGTACAATTCAATAACTATACGGCCTGGTTCAGATAATGAGTGTAATTATATATATGTATCAAATACTTAACTGTTGAAACATTATAAACTTGTAGACAATTTAAGATTTGACACTATAACATACTTGATCGTGCCTGTAAAAATGGCATGCATTTTCATGCAAATTTATGTTTATATGAAAATAAATTATTATTATTATCTTTGATGTAAATTACTCTGCGCCTATGCTTGGTTGACCAGATACGTCGTGTGCTTGTTCGTCATCTATATTTTACGATACAATGACATGAGCGTGTTACCGTTCAGATTTCAGGATATAGCTGATTGAGGGAAGTCAGCAAATGAACTCTGCGACGATTTTCCAACTTAGGACGTCAACCTGAGAAGGGTTGTAGGCGTACTGCTGTAAGTCCTACAATTCTTCAAAGGATAGTTCCTCAAGGCAGAATCCACCACATTTGATGTGTTGATTGTACATATGTTTGTGTTAAATAATTGTGTGAGTTCCAATTATTGTAATTGTTGGTTAATCCTGTTTGTGTCCGGACATTCCAGAATTTACAATTCTCAACCTGTGAAGGGTTGTAGGCGCACTGGCGTAAGTCCTGCAATTCTTCAAAGGAATTCCATCAAAGCATGATCCGCGAGGCTATTTGTACTGTTTGCATATATGTGTGGTGTGTCATATCAATTGGTGTATTTTGGATTCATTGTGTTTACTCGTTGTTTTCGTATCTTGTTGTTATTTCATAATTTTGTTAAAATTTTCGTCGTGATTACTTCTGAAGTTGTGTCCACTCTTCTACATCCGTGAATGAATTGATTGATGTTAGAGACAGCAGATGGGTCGTATACGCCGGGGAGGCTAGGCTATTACTGAGAATGAAATGCATACGGAGATAATTGTTAGCTGTGATACCACACGCCGGGGAGCAGGAGCGTAGACGGCTGAGGCTTGCGTACGTCACCGTTACTAGAACTGAGGCAGAATGGGTGACAAGCGATTGCAGTGGTAATTAGTGGTGAATAGATAAGAGGATGTGCGAAGAGTATCATGAGGCGCAGCTATGGTCACTTTGCATTCTGCAAGAGTCATTCTAGCAAGTGGCGATTGTGTTGCAAGAGGATGTGCCAAGAGGATGCCTTTAACTGGAAGGCGTAGGTCGTCATCGATGTGTGAGATTGTGCTGTGGGTATGCTTGTTGTGTGTTGGCTTTTCTGTTTGTTTTCCATTTCAGCTCTGTCTGTGTGACCCAGGTTCTCGCAATGGCATCCAAGTCAACGTGTATTGGTCGTGATCGTAAAAAGGGATGGATCCCATTTTTTCCGGGGAGTGTCAATGTAGTTGAAGATTGAACGATCAATTCATGGTTGTTTGCTCAAAACCAACTTCCACAATTTTCGCCGAGGCATCAATACGACAGTCATCGTCTCATCGGTCGCTGCTCAGAAAGAAGTCAGACTAAAACTGTCAGAAGTAATATTGTGATTTATTATTGTAATATTTGTCCATAGACCTTAGTTTAAGCTTAATTTTAAAGTTGGCTATATGTTGGTGTTACAATAAAGAATTCCCAAGCGGCCAATCGGTGTTTTGGTTTTGCGTCCGTTATTGATAAGCGTTTCTGAGAAACTTCAAGGAACAGCGTGAGTCCCAGTGTAGCAAGAGCTGGGCATTGACGGTTTACGAGACGTGGCTGACAGTAACCTTAATTTTAATAGCCTTCATTCGTGCAAGTCAGTTTAACACTTACCCCTCTCTTACACAGTTGGCTTATTCTCACTAAACTAGTCTCTGACTTACGTCCTTTCAAACGGACTGATACCAGCATAGTCATAGCATAAAACACGTGGGTTCATGGACATCGTGGATGACAACACCGACGATGACTGAGTGACACAAGTTGATGAACTTAGAGGTGCATCAGAAGCTGTTGTTGTTCGGCTTTTAGAAGGCTGTCTAACTGCAAGATTACCACCACTGCTGTCTTTTATTATTAGCTCCAGTTTAGCATTAGCATCCGTTGATAGGTAGGCTACAAGCTGATCGACTACACTGACGGTCTCACAAGCATCCATACCTTCTACCACCGCATCTGCTCTTAATTCTACTTCACGTTCAAGTTGTACAGAACTTTTATTCAACTCAGCAGCAGTAAGCATTCCCCTTGTCTTATCATGATCAGCCAAAGACAAATGTGCACTATCATACCACTGTTACAAATATCCACTTTACCTCCACTTGTATGATCAACTTCAACATTTTCAAACTCTTTAATAACAGCAGTAGACAATATGGGTTCTTCCTCACAAATCCTTAAATGTTTTATGCCTTTACTCTGTCTAGTAATAACTTGTAAAACTGAGGAGTCAGAACTGGACTCTGAAACTGTAACTCTCTTCTTCTGCACAAACTGTGGTGTCGTCTGTGACACTCTATTCAACAATGGATTATTGGTTGCAACTACAGGATTCTTCACTGCAACACTATTGTCACACAATTCGTAGTCAGAAAGTGATGAAGCTGATTTCACATTTAGCTTGCCACTAAACTTGGTCAGTACTTCACAGTTCGCCTATGTGTGCACTTCTTGCAAAAGTGTAAAACACAACCACGTTCGTCTCGCAACTAGTAACCTATCTGTTGGGGATGTCCCACGAAGGCTGTTACACTCACTAAGTTCATATTGATCACCAGACACCATAAATCTTTCTCGATATCCGCTTCGATGAGACTCTATCGTTATAAATGATTGCGTTTCGCTCCCAGACTGCTCTATTCTAGAGGTGGGATGCACTATACTGGCAAACTTGCTCGTAACTTGATTGACACTCTCTTTTACCAGTTTCAGCATATCATCAAACTTTGGCTCGATAACTTCATCCTCTGCACCAGAGCTTATCTTCACCCACTTCCTTGGCAGTCGCGTAGGTAGGCATCTCACTGTTAGCTTTAGGACGGAACTTGATTTCAGATCGCTCATGCAATTCATCGAAATCAACGTATTCTTGAAAGTCATCATCATCCAAGAACTGAGATTGTACCCTGGAGTCATCTCGTTATTGACTACCATCACTTTTAACAGCCTCGAATACCTTCCTCACAATCATCGAAGGTCTTCCAAATCTTTGACGCAGGATACGCATCGCCCCAGTATATCCTTCGTATGGGGGCAATACTTTACAGTACTGCATAGCACTGTTTACATTTTTCTAAATACAAATACGACTGTGCGTCGGTGGCTTAGCGGTCAGCACGCTCGCCGACCATGTACATGGTCCGGGGATCGATCCCCGCCCGACGCACTCCTTTACCTTGCTAAGCCACAAATAATGCTGGTAAAGAGGAAAGGTTGGGTATGAGGCTAGCAACTCCATCCTGTAAAAATAAACACTGCTACGGAAACTTCAAGCTGCTAGCTTAAAGCCCTATGTTCCACTGGGAACGTAAGGGAAAAAACACAAATACGACTGCACAGCCTCCGAAGAAAATTTTCTTCGCTGAATCTGTCTAATATTTTCTTCACGACTCAATGGGTACTTTCCGTTATTTGAAGCAGAGCAAGAACCCTGCGACACTGTATAGCTCTTGAAGCAGCTCCAGTTCAGTACCTCAACAAATACATCAACTTCATTTCATCATTTAATAAAAAAACTACTCAACATGATTTCAAACTCTTTGATAAAGTGTGGATAGTCGGCTGGGTTTCATCAAAGTACCGGGGCTCGAATTCGGGTAAATTTAAACCCTTACTATCCCTAAAAGGCGAACCGTGAACAACAGACTCATCATGCCGAGCATAATGCATATCATTTACAATTAACAAGCAACTCAGCATTACCTACTTTTCTGTCTGCTTCCAAGAGGCTTTGTCCTTTTTTCGACCCAGGCATCACTGAACTTGACCAAATGATCCAGAAAAGTTCCAGGTAACACTCGTCCAAAGAAGACGGGCAGACACGAGGAAAGAAAAACAGAAACTAAGAGAAACTGTCAGCCAACTATCAGAAACTGTCAATATCCAGGTCTTACTACACTGGACTTCACACTGCCCATGGAAGACTTTCAGAAACAATGTGTAATAACCAACGCGAAAAGCCAGAACACAGATTTGCGACTCGAGAATCCTTTATTCTTAAGCCAATATGTAACCAACAATCAGGTTAATACACACAAGGTTTAAGAGTAAATGTTATAACAATAAATCACAGTAATAATTCTGATAGTTTTCTGCCTTCCGCGGAACAGCGAACGATGAGACGATGACTGGTGTATTGATG